ATCCTCAAGAGCGCTCCGAAAGTATCAGTGTGCCGCAAGAATCAGACCAGAACAAGAGTGTACAGGATCCAGCGCCATGTGCAACCATCCAGCTTGAGACAAAGGGCTCCGCTGTCGCGACGTCTCCCCGCTTCATGCCGATTCCGGCCGGTATTGCGACGCCTTCCGGCACCGTCGGCTCTCCTGCAGAGCTTCTGCCCACTTCTAACGCACGCGATGTAGTCGATGCCCAGGAACCGGGTCTCAAGGTCCCGGTCTCGCTGTCGAGGAAAGGCGAAACGAAAAGACTACGCGGCAAGAGCATTGTAGCGAGCGGCAAGACGAGATGCTGCAGCAGGGAGCCTACCCCAGAAACGGAGCCGCTCTTGCGCCCAGATGTGCTGGAATTGATCTTGTTGGAGCTGATTCCGACACGAGAAGCATTCCTGCAAGGCGAAGTCTTGGTTTATGGCAACTGGATGGATGTCTCCAATCTGGACGAGAAATTCACACGTCACGCTTTGGCATGGGAAGGTGTCGCCTTGACACAATGGCTGCTTCAGCTTCGACTCTTAGACACCTCTTGGAATCAAGCAAGTGAGCTTCATGCGCTCCTGACTTCCTCTTTTATCGCAGACTGATACTGACGCACGGTCCGTCTTCGGAATCCAGTCAAGAATTCGTCTCTTTGGGTGCAGCTAGAAGAGGTTTTCTTTCAGTTCCCAGGGCCCCCAATGCAGCCGACGGAACAGCCCTTTGAGCGATTCTACAGTAAGCTACGCAACATCTGCGTGCCATGTTACTTGAACGATCGGATCACTTCGTCAAAGGGGCGCAGGAGACCATCATTTGCGTTCGGATGGGTGCCCATGTGCAACAATCACTCATACATTGTCAAGTCGGTACAGAATCCTCCCCGTCACCGCGCGCTTTGCTGGAAGTGCTTCGACGAGGGAGGCAAGAATGAAAATTGCGCTATCGTCCAAACCGGGGATGATGAAGCATTCGAAAACAAAGCAAACCAAATGGGTAACGCATGCGGAACTTGTCGCAAGAAGGCTCTTGAAGAAGCCTTAAATCGAAGGTCAGTGAGCTTCATTACAGCGGATGGGGCTGCTCGAGACCACACGCTGACTCCAGACCTACCCGCAGCTGGAAGCACCTAGGCATCCTACTTCGTGGCTCGTCCGCTCTGATTCATGCCCCTGCAATGAGGTACATCAATTGGGGCGATTGGTCTGCCAGCGATGCTGCGGAAGAAGTTGCGTCGAACGTAAGTCTATGAAGACGCTTTCCAAGCTCTCTTATTGACAACCCTCCGCTCCTTCTGCCTCCTGCTTTGAAGTATTGGCTCTACTGCTACACGAGATGGCCTGACTACTACGCAAGTACCCTTCAGTTGCTCAACGAGTCTGCCGTCAACGAGCAGCGCAACATTGTCCTGGCCTTTGTTGAAACCCGACCGGGCGATGCAGGAGATCTTTGGCACCTTTGGGAGCATGCATGGGTGGAAACGAAAGCTGTGCTGGCGAGGACATCAAACTTCAGGGGGATGCTTACTAGAATCAAGCGCCATGGTTTCTCGACTGTGTATCACTCCTTGATCGACCAGTACAGGAACAGCCTCGTATTCACAGAGAATGGCAGGTCGGCACGTTGCCCTTCCATCGACGACATGGAACGGCTACTGTATCGCGCTCTACCTCGTGAGCTGAACGAAGAGCAAGAGGAGCGCACGATCCGCGAGTCTGTGTACGAATACCTCTCGCAAGTAGCGCGTGGTGGTAGGTCGATCATCAGCTCATCCAGGCTAACATCGAAACGCGGCTGACGACTCATCTCTTCATGCCGCAGGTATCTGGATGTCCGTTCGCGAGGCTTCTCTACAACAAAAGAATCACAACGGATGCTTGTCTGGTATGCCGATCGAGCCAGACGATTTCGATTTGAACAATCCTCGCAATTGCGGCGCTCCGAGTCTGAATCCGAAGTTTGCGGCCCGCGTCCGAGCAGACGACGAATTCCGCATCGTTCTTACGCTTCCCCCCCCGATGCCTCAGCGTCTGCAGCAAATTGCGGAGCAGTACTGGCTAAGAGACGTTATCAGAGAGCTTGTCCGCCCAGCTCTGCTCAATCTGGCCAAATTCATCAAGAACTCGAGTCGAGATGAGACGCAAGCTGCAATTGACCTCTTTGCCTTTGAGTTGGACGACATTCTTGCCTTTCTCCGGCAAAAACAGCTCTGGGTCACTAGTCGACGAGTGTCGGCTCGCAATGGTACCAACGAGCCAGCAAGCGTGCCGCTCGTGCCTGCTTCAGCGAGGGACATCGGTCGCTCAACCAGTCTGGGCATCATGAGTCTCTGGGACGAGATCATTGAGCCCCTCAAAGAGTGCAATTGCAAGATCTGCGCCCGTGGCAAGCGCAAGAGGGAGGCAGAAGAGGAGGACACGGAAGTGAGCGACGAAGTGAACCCCGACTGCGGTGAGGTGCAAGCTTTTCTGGAGCAAGTAGGAGACACAGCTCAGTCATCGGCAGGCTCTGGCTCTGGCGACCAATCCGGTATCGTGGAGGCTTGTAACTCTGACGAGGATGTCATGAACGAAGACGACATCATCCTCCCCATGGCAGATTCGCCAGAGACACCAGTGGCCGAGTTGCTTTTCGAAGATCACTCCACTCCTCTCATTGGAGCCGCAGCATCTGGAAGCTGGGCGCAGCCTCGAAGTGTGCCGGAGCTTCCTGATGAAATTGTCCCCACGTCTTCCAGCAGCCAGTCCGATTCGGTAGTCAGCGAGAAGAGCAGAGCACCATTTCCATCAGAGGTCGGTCGGAAGGCTGATGCAAGAGACGAAGGTGCCACTTCTGCGCTCCAGGATCGCATGAGCGCCAAGCCTCAGCGCGAAGCCGATGAAGCACGACTCGCGCACCAAAGACCTAGCGGGAGCAGCAAGAGGATCATTTTGAACCACAAACGACAACGAAATTGAATACACAGAGATCGCAGCTAAAATCCGCTAGGATGCCCGGGTTCGCCGAGCAGAGGTCTCCGCTGCCCATTGCGAAGGACGAATCATGCGCGAATGTCCCTTCGCGAGCGTGCAAGTCTCCCCCTTCTTCTTTCACGCGAATCACTAGAGATTCCCATTCCATATCAATTCGAAGCTCTCACACTGTATCATGATAACATACACAAGCCGATCGATTCGCCAGAGTCGATCTCGGCAAGACGATGCGCATCGCTGCTCGTCAGAGAAAACACAGATTTTCGAATCAAGCAAATCACAGTACATTCGACGACGCTGTGCACCACGCTTCAGAGTCGAACGCGGTCGGACGGAGGAGCTTTGAGAGAAGAGTCTCGGTGTAAGGCCATCGCGTCATTCGCAGCCATGCGCTCTTCTTCGGTGGCAAGCTGACAAGGTCTGTTGGAAGCTGATGTAAGAATCACTGGAGATAGGACTCCAGCTTGCTCCACACTTTCTCTCGGACGCTCTTCTCGCGCACATTTGGGCTAGGCTCGAGCCTTTTCAAACGCTCGTTGAAAAAGTTTCCCTCTCCAAGACGAAGGAATCTTCGTCCTGCCAGCAGCGAGTTGGAGATGAGTGTGTACGAGGAGGGAGAAGAGTCAGCACTGGTGCAACGCGAGGCGGCTACGTAGACAGACCCGAGGCTGGGAGCGTGCCCACGCACCCTCGGTATGTGCCGCTAGGTGCACAGGGGCTTCAGCATAGCCTCCTGGTCCGGGCTTTTGTCCAACCCATGGACCAAAAAAGTGAGAGATTTGAGGAATGGGCCACGGCAACTTGGAGTTGCTTGAAGCGTCCGTGCTGACAAAGCCTGGGAACAGGTGCGCCACGGCGAGGTTGGGATGACGCTCGGCCAAGCTCTGCGTGAGACCGATACATGAAACGGATGGAGAGGGTAAGCTTGACGCAGCCTCGACGCTCTGTCACTATTCCCGTTTGCGAGCAAAGAATGGCTTACCAGAGTCACACTGTCCAATTGGCTGGAGTCTCTTCGACCCTGGTAATAAATGGACAAGTACCCATCCTTGAACGTGCCCTGCTGATGAGCTTTGGTAAAGTCCAAATCATCCGTGTCCAGAGGCTTGGAGCCTCCTGAGGCAGGAGCAGCAATGAAAAAGAGGCCCCTCTTGACCAACTGTTTCTGAGTGAGAAGGTGCGCGATGGCGAAGCGGGACAGCACCTGGACCGACCAGCCGAAATCTCTTCCCTGAGGCGTGGGAACGTAGCGTCCGTTTGGCGGTCCGCCTTGCGGTCATAGTGCGGCAAAGTAAGCACAAGAGGATGCGGCGAGTCAGGGAGCAAGCAGATCAAGAGGCGCAACTTGTGATTGCCTCATCTCGACTTCACTTCGCCACGCACCTTGGCACTGCACCACCCAATCGATGCCCTTGCTGCCGGCTCTCTGCTGCACCTCGTCAATCACCCTCTTGATCTCCCCAACATCGCTCAAGTCCGCTTTGAAGAAGGCGTGCTGCGCGTCCACCTGGAGTGATCCGCCATTCCTCTTCTTGAGCTCTTCGGTAGCATCGATCAGTTGCTTGATCACGCCTTCTCCCTTTTCCTTGTTGCGTCCAATAATGTACACTTCTGCTCCTGCTTGGGCGAAACGAAGGGCTATGCCCGCTCCTATTCCTTGCGTGCCACCCGAAACCAAAGCTCTTTGGGATACGAGAGAGGCGGAAGCGTTGTCCTTGGCGAAGCGCGACATGTTGTCAGACTTGAGCCTGGCAGTCGCAGCGAGGAGGGTAGTGGGACACTTTCAAGAAGCCCGCAAGATCGCTTGTTGATGAATTTGGCCGGAAGAGGAAGCTGGCTGCTGCTGTTGGCCTTGCCACAGCATACATATACTGTAGACGTCAGCTAGACGGCTCACTCAACACTCACGACTTGTGACTTGGGTTGTGGTGAGCAATCAAAGCTGTGAAGCCACAAGTGCTGCAAGAATCGCGCTTGGTGAGAGGCCCGAGCGCGAGAAGTCGTCACTCGCGCCATGTCATCATGGATCGAGTCAAGTGTACGCCGTCATGCAGTCACGAGCGTGAGTCAGCATCAGCACAGACGCAAGCCACAACTCCACCCTCAGCGCCAGCCGGCGGTTATTTGCTTGGTGACTGATCAATCGCTGCA